TTCCCTACAGAATCCTTTAAGCTTTCAGTACTGGTAATATTACTTCCATGAATTCAGATATCTCTTATTCCATTTCTTCTCCCTCCCTCATTAATAGCTCCACTAAAAATGATTCAGTATTATGGGATTTTTTAATTTTGAAAAAGAGACACCAGAAGGAGGATGTGATTGTCTACATGAAATCATGGACAGTAGGGAAGCAATGAGTAGGAATCACTTATTCATTACTTCTTCCAAGACAAGATCAAGATAGCACTGCATGAAGCTAGCTTTGAAAAGGCTGATCAAGAAAAACCGAAGTGGTATTTCACACAGTGATTAGGAAACACTTGAGGACCCTGAAAAAGACAGAACCTTGTGGATGCTAAAATTTACAATGGTTCAGAGAGAGAATTTCTGGTGAAATTCACAGTCCAGAAATACACTGTGGTTGAAGAGGATGGGTTTCTCTAGACCACTGATCTCCTTTTAGGCTCTTCCCTAGGTGCCAATGTATGGCTATTTTTGGAGATAAAATGCAGAGCTAAATGGACATTTATTTTCATCCAGATGAAATGGCTGGAGGATGTTGGAGCCTCTTGGTTTGGTTTGTGGAATTTTTTGTTTGTGTCTATGTGTGTAGCATTCCATTCTGTGTTGGCATGTTCAAGTTCAATGTCACTGACTGTTTCCGCAATGCTCTTTGAGTTTACATCCTTGAAATATATTTAAAATCTCTCTTACTAGCACTGTGATTTGTCAACCATCTCCTTTAAACAAAATCTTGTAAGGCTCCTCATTTTCCAAAGAAATCAGTGCAAACCTCAGCTATTGGCTGCTTGGTGACTCACACAGATGAACTGGCATGCATAGGATGTCCTGGTAGTGACCATAATCACTCGAGATGTGTGTGTCATACACCTGCAGGGATGCTGGAATCCAACTGGAAGACTCAAGTTTGAGGACTGCTGATCGAATGACTTGCTTTGTTTTGTCATCTTCTTCTTAGTTTTTTATAATTCAAAAATATCACAGAAGAGATTTAAATTCATGGTCCATACCCCAGATGCTTAAAATCATAATTTAAAATATGACTTAGTCTGAAAAGGTTACAAATAAGAGGGGCAATAGGTGGGTAAGAATAAAGGACACAGATAGGTTGCTTTGGATCAAACAAGTATATATTTTTTGGTATGGTTATGGGCTTTTTTCCCCCTTGAATACAAAATATTCTGTGAGTGTAACTATAAGGATTCCTTATGGTGGACAAGCTTACTCTGCCTTCAGCTGCACTGAACTGTTTCTGAAAATATACATATTTCACTGTTTTTAATTTATCTGACTTCTTAAAAAATAACTGTGTGAACTTTTACAGATAGATGATGCATGTTCTGCCTACCTGTCCAGAGGTTCTCAGCCTCAGGTGAGTCAGACAGAGGTTACTTTATTATTTTGATATTATTTGTATATACAGTAGGATTGGAAGCATGATACCTGAGTTTGTGTTTTCTTTGCATTAGGCATCCAGCACACTGGAAGAACTTTGTTTTTTGGTCACAGGATTTCTCCAGAAACCACAGGTAACACTCACAAAAGACTAGTTAGAAATTCTGAAGCCAGATCTCTCAGTGTGCCAGTGTCTACAACAAATTCTGAGGATCCAGTATCTGAAGTGTCACTTGGTGCTGGAAGTAATATTTCCAGTTCTTACTCCAAAATACTATGTATTCTAATCCAACACCTATTAAAGATAATGGGGACACTTTAATGCTTGGAAAATAGTCTCCAGATTGGATTCAAAGTTTCAGGTGTTTTTATTGCTCTAGATTAGAAAAATGATGAGCTTTCAGTGGAGAAAGAGATTTGCTAAGGAGAGTCTGCTGATATACAAAGAAGCATCCACTAAACCCATGGACTCTTCTACTGGAGAGTAATCAATGCTCTCTGCACAGTCTGAAAAGAATAGTTCCATTGATAAGCAAAGATGTGTAATAGATCTATCAAGGAAGGAATATATTCTAATCCAGTACTGAAAAGTTTATAATATAATCAAAATTGCCCATTTTTATTTTGCCAAATAAAAGTTTTTCTACCAATTATTATTCCTACAGGGTGTAGATGAAAAAGACAACACTAAAAGGGTAAGATTTCTACATATGTTTTATGATCACACTGAAATTCTCAAGCAAAATCATAACACCCTTGCCCAGTTTTGTAGTAAAATCCCACTTTTAATTTTTTTGAACAGTTCTTATTTCATTATTCTAAGACTCATGACTCAGGCAACTCAGACATCATGGTAAGTGACATAGCACCTCCTTGTGAGTACACATGTGCTTGTATATAAAAATGATCCTTTTTGCAGTGGTCTCTCCAACTGTGTAGCAAGTTCAGAACTGGGATCTTTGCATTTAAGATACAGAATATATTTTAATAACATGGAAGATGAACATTGATACTGTCCAAGTGTGCAAAAAACCAACCAAACACTCATAGAATTCCAACTACATCTTAATCTTGTAGTTACAACATTTAAGCATAAGATCAAATGCTTGTTTCTGGTACTGGAACATAACATATGCAGTGAAACAATGTAGATTTGTAGAAGCTGAGAACATGACCATAAGTATCAAGAACTCTTAATGAATTTTTAATAATTATTCATTAAATTGTCTATATTTATTTGTGCATGTCATAATACATACCTAGGCAAAACAGTATTTAATCTCATTCAGACTTTGGATTATATATTGAATGAAAAACATTATTTTAAAGATAGCCTAGCACTGTTGCTATAAAAATATTCCCATAAGCAAACAATATAAGCTAAACTGTGTGTGATTAATTTCTGCTTTTAAAGTGCAAACATAATTTGTTATTTCTGTGCATCTATGTGTTTTTTTCTGTGCATGATAGGATTTTGAGAAAGTTAAGCATATTAATTTTTAAAAATTTCTTAACAATCATTCCTTTGTGTTAACGTCCATTTTTACCTTGTTCTTCACATTTCTTCAGAAATATGTGGTATATTTCCCAGAGACTGATATTGATGATACTGGGGTCAATGTTTTCATGTCAGAGCAGCTCTGGAGCTTTTAATGGTGATCAATGAAATGAGCTATTTCTGTTGCTGCTCCTGCTTAAGAGGTTACTCTATCTAGCCTTGACCCCACCCTGAATGCTGCAGCCCTGCCTTCCCCTAGAGATTACTGCTTTCTCACTCCTGCCTTAGCTGTTTAGGTGACTATCTTCTAGCCCAATTCTCCAGCTTAGAGACACCCAGCTTAGGTGAGATCCATCATTCTTCAACTTTATGAACCTCTTCCAACCGACTGCAAGACAGAGCCTAAGTGGCCAGCTGGGATGGCCTTGAATTCTGCTACATGTCAGACTTCTGCTTTTTTAGCTATTTTGAAGCACACTTACTGCCTACCTTAGGGAAATAGTGCAAAGCTGTCTCCAAGTAGGCAAGTTCATCTTACCTATTAAATACATTACCTCTTGGGTAACTTTAGTTATTCCATTAATTATATTTCTTTTTGTTGTATCACTTTTCTAAGAAGTAGTGTATAAAAAATGCATTCTTTCTATAATTATGTTTATGTGAGTTGAAGGTTGAAATTGGTTGATGGAACACAGATCTTCTACTTTATTTGTCACTATGGACCTCTCTCCACAAGCCCAGATGGTTGTGTTTTGCCAGTGGGACACTCATGGTGCACACTGTGCCATTGTGCTTAGCCAGGCTGACTGCAGACAAAGTTTTGGTGAAGACAAGACCTTTCACAACTGGAGTTTGTCTTTTAGGTAGAGTGACCTGTGTCACAGTTACAAATTTTACTTAATAATGGTCTCTCCTGCACAGTTTTCTAGGAAAAACAAACAAACAAACTTCTTGTGATTGAAATAATTTTGAAGTAAAATTAACTTTTCAGTACAATGGAGATTGAAGCTTCTAACCTCCATGGTAGATAATGGTAGAAATGTTAGTAGGAGTACTGTATGGAAATATTCACTGTAGCACTCAGAGAGAAAGATCAAAGTCTGAGTAACTGCAATCGCCTGGGCACAAAGTCTCTAAAGATTTCTGAACTTTCAATGAGTAAAGGTGAGGATGCACAGATTTCCCCTCCATCACTCTGTGAGTCACATTCATAGTGTAAATATAAATGTTGATACCTGTTTGTTATCAGGTCAGAATGTTAAAAAAATTTCTCAGCATCTTCAGACTTTTTTTGCTGCATGTTTGGTCCATAAGCCAATAGTGGGGGAAGAAATTTTTTTTGCACCATGAGGTGTGAATATCATTGTTGCTCATGTGTCTGTGTTCGTGTCCTCTCAGTCGTCTGTCCTGCATCCCTTGCTGCAGCTCGTTCCCCAGCTTAATGAGAGAAGGCTGAAGAGACACAAAGTGGACGTATGTAATCCTGAACGCTGCGTGCTTGCATTATCACACTTTGTCATTCGTGAGCTCTTCTATAGATAGCCTTGTAGACATTTCTGCTCAAAACATTTTTATTTTCATGATCTAACATCATCCTAATGTATTGTCATTAGAATCATGAAGTTTTTTTATTCTTTAATTAGTGAAAAATAATCTTGTTGCTATTTACCATTTAAAAAAAAAATACTGAAGTAATATATGTTTAGCACAGAAAAGTGGTAGAACACAAAGCCTATGTATCAAAATGGATCTGTTAGTTCTTTTATAAAGGGGAAAATACTTTCAAGTTTATCTGCACCGTTATGTTGCAGTTGAGTTACATTTTCTAGGGGGGGTTATTTTTTCCCTCTATTTGGAATTCAAACCATATCTACTCCTTAAACTGATATTATTTATGACTTACTATGAATTTCCAAGTAATTTGTATGGAATTTTACTGCTTAACCTAATGTGCAGATAAGAAAGTTCTCTATGGAACTGATCTTCCATAGAAAAGCACTGTGTTTTGGAACAAAAGTTTCACATAGATAGAAACAACCCCACTGTTTCAAAAATCTAATAAAATATGTGTCTATTTGCTGCAAATGCAATTTCAGATTTCATAAATCAAAAAGCAGATAGCTATTAATGTCCGTTTCTTTAATGCTGCTATGGAGAAAAGAAAAAAATGCAGGCTGATATATAAGAATACTGAAGATTCCTGTGTAACAAAGTATACCAAAATCTAAGACCCAGATTTTTCCTGTTTTACATTAACTTCAGATTGGTTATTCCTTAGATTCATTTACATGATTCCTTATATTTGTGATATACAAGTTAAATTAGGTGTACAAATGTGATATTTAAAACACAGATAGTTGCAACCCAGTAAGTAGGACTTTTTCCTTTATTAATCCAGACAAAGGCTGTGTTGCTACCTGCCACATTTTCAGTGAAGTCTTAATCCTGTGATTACGTATGTCATCTTTCATCTAGTCATGGTTGTGGTTGGCAATACTATCTATCCTTCCCTTTGGATCATTGCATAATCCCAACTATATACCCTGAATCACAGTTTTCTTATTTAGTGACAGAACATAAGAACTTAAAGATTTGATACATGGACTAAAAGCATCATGAAAATTTTAACTCTCTACACATCTGAAAGGAAAATACAGGGTAGAATTTACCTTCTGTGATGACATTGACATGAACTGTATTTATGCTGTTGGACCTGTTATCTGTCAAAGAATATTCTTGGAATTGCTCTCTGTGCTTTTAAATGAATACACATGTCAACTAAGACAAAGAATGATAAAGAAAACATAAATGAAAGAACACAATATTGTTTTAAGTGAAAACAGAGTGCCTTTTAAATCCAGTAATGTAATTTTTCTAGAATACTTTAATATCCTGAATTTACTTGCACTGAGGTTGATTGCATAATTAATAGAAAGAGAATACATTAACAGGTAATAACCTAAAATTTGTAGCATATTTTAAATATTCTAAAATAGTCTAAAATATTTCAGCCTGTTCACAGCAGTTTTATTTCAAGTGGGCTCCAAGGAACCCTGTAAGGATATTTTCCCAAGTAATAATAATACCAAACCCTGCAGAGTGTATCAGTCAGATTATGTGCCTTGTATAAATATTTAGAGAGTCACTATGCTAACAACTCACAAACTAAATGTAATTTTTTTGTTAGAAAAAATTTAAAAGTATACTAGCTACCTGAGATAAAGTGTAAACAGAAACTGATATAAAAAGCCTTTTTTTTAAGATAGTGTTTGGGAATATATCTTCCAAAAGAAACTAAAAAAAAAAACAACCCCCAAACCACAAAAAAAAATCAGACAATAAAATGACATAGTGTTTGGGAATGAGACCAGAGCAAACTTTGTGGTAAATGGCAAAAATTTTATCAAGTTTTTTTTTTGTAAGGTACATATTTTCACCAGACTTTTCATGTAGGGATGAGTGAATAATGATGAGTATTATGCATTTCTTTAGTCATCTTTTGAAGTGACTATTTTTTAAAAGACCTGTCTCCTGTTATTTGTGTTGTTGTACTCATAACTAGTGGTACAAGGAAATAGCAAGTTAGAAGTCCAACCATTCTGCACTGTGATAATCAGCAGTCTTTAATTTGCAATCATGATGTTACATTTATGCTTAACATAAGCACGTATGTAACTAAGGTCATTATCCTAGCAGGACTGTTCACACACTGAGTATTGGACTCTTTGCTACATAAGAATAGTAATTCCAGCTAAAAGTTTGCACACAGAATTTGTAGCACTTTCAGCTCCCTTTCTGAGTAATAGTAACCCATATTTTGTGAACTACAGGCATGGGAATCTTCTGCATTAGTCAATACTATCATGGATAATTGGATTAGGTTAAAGTAGATGGTGCAATAACTTCATCGATCCTTAGGCAGAATAAGGGTGTTAGTCTAACTAGGATTTGTTGGAAGAGGAATGGTATATAGAACTGTCACAGTCATAGTAACAATTTTTTAAAAAGAAGGTGTAACAACAAATGCCACACTAGTTCAGGCTATATTTTCGACAGTCCAGTATCCTGTGTCTAACAGTGTCTTGCTGTGCAAAGACAGGGAAAAGGTGGAAAGATCAGAGCAAGTGTGGAGCAATCAGTCCTCTGGTACACTCCGTAGCTTCTGGCAGGCACACCATAGAGACCTTCTGAGCTGGAGGCTTCATCTAGATGGACTAGTCTGATAGCATTCTACGATGTGGTGACTGAATGGGTAGATGCAGGGAGACCAGTTGATGTAGTCTACTTTGACCTCAGCAAGGCGTTTGACACAGTCCCCCCTAACATCCTTCTGAGCAAGCTCAGAAAATATGAGTTAGAGGAACAGGTGGTGAGATGGGTTGAGAATTGGATACGCAATAGAGCCCAAAGAGTGATGATCTATGCTGCCAAGTCGAGGTGAAGACCAGTAACTAGTGATCCATACTTGATTTGAAAGCTTCCTTGGACTGAAGCTACTCCTATGTTTGGAAATTATTAAATCCATCCTGTTTTACACAGTCTTACAGCATTAGAATAGACCATGGCATGATTGCTTTCTGTGACAGCTCTGGGTATGATCATAGCACATGACCTCAGTTTTGCATTGAGAAATACCATCACTTCTAAATAAATTTCTAATATATATATTATATCTATATTATAATTAATAATTATAATATTTATAGTTTACAATCAATATTATGTTCTGCTAAGCACAAGATTTGAACTATTTTGTTTCTGAATTGTTCTGTCTCTCCACCTACAGGACAGATACTCCAGACATAGTTGATATTAACACAAGCAAAGAAAATACTGTCACTAAGTTTGTGTGTTCTATAATCATGAAGGTCTCATTAAAGCAACTCAATGCTTCATGTGTTGTACTTGTTGCATTAAATGGAATTTCTGTTTTCTTCATCGTTAGTTTCTTCTCCCTTGCTGTATGGATTAGCATCCGGTTGTTTCTCAGTGTGTGCAGCACGGACAGGACAGAACAACATACGCTCTGGTCTTGTCTTTGGGAGTTAATCTGAGAGGGGTGATCACAACACACCTCTGGAAACAGTCTGGGATCTTGTTCCTAGACTGGAGACCAAATATTTGCGGGTTTTAAGCTTCGTGGTGTTCTCCTTCTGCAAGGAGCAAAGACCAACTCTGCTTTGTCTTGTAGAGACTCCGCTACCGTGAAGACACTCAGGGTGTGTCTGGATAATGAAACCTGGAAGGACAAAGGCAAAGGCTGCTTATCATGACTAGTACTATTCTAAACCAAGCTGAACTAACACTAAACTTGGTCCTCATTCATGTGTTTTCTGCTACTTCTACCTGACAACATGAACTTGTTACTGACAGGATAAACATATATAAAGCATGCTTAACGGGCAAGACTATAGTAGTACTAAAGAAATACTTTTAATATGTATGTAAACAACCTCTCTAGATGGATTCATGTACCAGAGTTTAAACTACTTTTTTTTCAGGAAGATCTTCAAGGACCTGGAGGGGTTCAAAGTAGAGGCTATTTTTTCTACAGGGTATGGTTGGTTTGACTTTATTCCTTTTCCATTTTGTGATGAGCGTTATGAACCAAAACCAAGAGAAACCTACAAATTACAGTAAGAATGACAGTGACTGTCAGTAAAAGCATCTCACCATGTAATACTACTAAAGACATCTTAGATTAGAATAAGGGTGTATTAGGAAGCTTTTGTACACATCTTAATGTTTTTGTACACATGATCCCATGTCTTAATAAGTCATTGGTTGTGATGTATACAATTATCAGATAAAGTTCACGCCATCTTGGACAATCCTTCTAAAACACTGTTGGATGTGGTACCTTTGCATGGGTTATAAATACAACGCCATGCTTACACACTGTATCAAAACAGCTACTGGGCGTGACCTTCCCATTCTCCTTGTGTTTTGACCAGTAAGATTAGAAACCAGACACAGAAATTCTCATGAGAATGAAACTACTTTGTTTGATGCTATAGAGCTTTTTTAATCCATTTTTGCAAAACTAAGCACGTTAAAGGTGGCAAGTCAAACAATAATATTCTTGATTTTGGTTAATCTTTTTTTCTACTTAAACAAAAAAAGTGACTAATGAAAAGAAGACAAATTTTTATAGTTATATTTCTTATGTATGAGGATTGGATCTTTACAGTTCATATGAGATGCCAAAGTGATGGGTAATATTTCAGTGATACATTCATGATGCCAGAGTGAAAAGTAAATTCTTATTAAGCTCAGCAAGGATTTTTTAATCAAGTTGAGTAGACACTGTATCGAGTTCTTTTGTAATGCAAAGTATCTCTGAAATAACCACGGTGAAAAGGGAATAACTCTTTGCCTCTGTTAAAGAACACAATCTGAAAATAAAATCAAGTAACATATATTTCTTTTTTGATTACAACAAACATTTGTAATGCAATTATAACAAAACATTGAAAGCACATCTTAAGAAAATGAAAAAAAAAAAGAGGGATAATGGTCTCTTACAAGACTTACCAAATCTTGTGGCTTTCTTCCCCTTGTAAAATCACACAAGATGGGCATCATTCATTCTTCAATCCTTATACAGTAATTTTTACTGTATAAACATCCCCCAGAGGTGGATATACATTAAACAGTAACTGGTCTCAGGTTTAGCGTTAATGATGATCACATTGAAAGAACTGAGAAATTCCCCAGTTTCAATACATAGCAAAGTAGGTGGCCCTTTGTTACTGAAACCAGTCAGTTTTATTGAGCGCTTATTGGATATTTGTCTTTCAGCCACGCAATGGAAGGAGATCAGTGGATTTTCACTAAGGAGGTATTCATTTCATGCTTTTAATCACAATCTATATTTAAATTAGTTTATTTTGTATACAGTGGTTATGTTGAGGAGTAGTCTCAGAAAGCCTTTAATAGTTTTGTCAACTTAAGATGTCTATAGGAGAGCTTCTCCCAGATGTGCTAAATTCACATACATTTAGTTAAAGTGAATAAAAGCTGTAGGGACTCAGTTCCTAGATCAGAGAACAGAGAGCTGCTTCAGGCAGTGAGAAATGGAAAATATTCCAGATCTGTAAATATCTTGGAAAGTTAACGATGATAAGTGTATGTCAGGAATAACTTATTAAACTACCTACCAAATACATACTGACATCCTGAGAGTAATAGCCTGCTCTTACACAGAAAAAAAACCCAACCTCACACTGAAACCAAGTACAGGTTTCAGGATTTAATTTAAAATCAACTCTTTTGGGAGATGTAAAAATGTTTCCTTATGACAACATTATAATGCTCTGTTTTCTAATATATAGCTATCATATTTTAAGCATTTAGCGCTATATTACACCAATAGCTGAAGCTTTTTCTTATTTTTCAGGATTTTAGACTCCTGACCTTGAATTAGTGCTGCAGGAATG